TTACCAAGAGCCAGTCTGCTTCCTGTAGTTTCTTCAGGTTAGATATATAGCTTTACCACTTTGTCATGAGATCTAGTTTTGTTTTGGATACAATTGCACATCCTACAGACACACACACACTATATATATATATATATATATATATAAAAAACGATCATGAATCCCATAATCCACTAGGGTTGTAGGGGCACCACATGAATACAGCTGCAGCAGAAGTGGTGTTTCTTGGCCAAGATAACCTGATACAGACCATGCCTCACCAGGCTGGTTTGAGTTCAGAGTTTTCCTTCTCCTCGACCAGTTGCCACCCAAGACTATACCAGTATGTCCTGCTATTTACCTATAGCTGGGGGGCAAAGAAGATACAAGTATTGATACAAGTCCTACTAATTAGTAAGACTTGTATCAATAAAATCATTATCTCAAAAAGAAAAATTCTTACAATCTAAAAGTATTTTCTAGTTTAAAATAACCTACAAAAGGTTGATAATCTGTTAAAAACAAATCAATCGATGACAGTCACGTTTTTTTTCTTGATGTTTAATCTATGACTTAAAGATTTGGTACTAAAACAAATCTTAGGTTAAAAATTGCAAAACTATTTGATAATTAACTATCATATAAGAAATTCTTGCTTTGATGATGCTGAAAATAACTAAAGTAGCAGAGTGTAAAAGAAGGCAGTGCTCATTGAGAAGAAAAGCCAAAACCTTACCTTTATATATTTTTTCTTTTAAATGTCACATCCCTTTAAGACATAGGGGATCATGTTTCTCCACAGCTTCCTTTTCTCTATCATCTGTGAATTGCCATAATTTCTTAGGAAAGATAGTAAAGTTGTTTTCTGTTGCCTTCTCTGCAGTTTAAATTCAGAATTTTCTTTCTCTTAAACTGGCTGCCACTCAAGGCTAGAGAGCCTAGTCTACTATTTAACTCATAGCTGGGAGAGAAGAAATGGATTCTTGCTTTTTCCAAGGGTATTAGTGTGAAGTGAATGCAACAGACTGTCAGAACTTGAACTTGCCAATTCCACTTTCTGCACTGATAACCTTATATTGCCAGCATATCCTACCTGGTTCACGTGGTGATAAAGTGTAATTGTTATTATTGATTCTTTTCTACCTCACTATTGCCAGATTTTTAACTGGGTAAAATAGTAAGGCAGACAGGACTCTCTAGTCTTGTTAGAGCAGTCAATCTAAGGGAAGAGTAATAGTGAATTCAAAACTTGGGAGAACACAGCAAGAAAATATTCTACTAATTTCCCCAAGAAGAGTCAAGACTATTTACAATTATTAAGAAAAAGGAAGTTTTGGAGAGCCATGATCACCTCTGTCATAAAGAGACTTGAGTTAAAAAAAAAATTAAAAAAAAAAAAAATTGTTTAACAACATAAATTTAAATGCTCAAAAGTAAGTCTTGAAATTTCATCATCCAAACATCCATTCATTGGCAGGTGTTTGTGCTGCCATAATAAATGTTAAAATTTGCTTCAGTTTTTTAATGCTGCATCTGTTGTCACTATTTGAATATTTTCATTGTTTGAGGAATATCAGTATTCAGTAATTGATTGTTACCTTTTTCCTGGTATTACTTAAATAGATAGGTCCACACATAAAAGAAGTAGTGGGAAAATAATTATAGTAGATTAGCATTTAGTCACAGTGGAGTAATGGATAACAGCTCGGATTGAGTAATCGGAAAGCTGAGTTTGAATTCCAGTCAAATCCATTACATTCAATTACATGCTAATACCCTTGGGAAAGGTATGAATCCTTTTCTTCTCCACCCCCAGCTATAGATAAACAGCAGGACAGACTGGATTCTATAGTCTTGTATGGCAACTGGTCTACCGCAGAAAGAAATGTCAACCTACTGCAGGAAAAAAAATGTGCCTAGCCAGTCATGTATCGAAATATACATGATAACCTAAGCGTGTATCACACATGGCACATAACTGACTGAGACCTTCCTTATAATATTGATACAATGTAGATCAGTCCCTGACTTTATTTTTAATTGACTGAACTTTTATTTACAAATGTCAAGTTTGAAACTGCCTACATTGTGCCCTTCAGCCTTCTTCAGGTGTATGTTGATCCGGGCAGCCTTCAGAGAATATCAAACTGAACACTTTATTTAATCGACAGGCGTAGATTGTTTTCACTCTGCTTTCCATGTTTAGGGATATCTTGTTGTCTTATTTAGTACTGCTCAATCATTGCATGTTTTGTTTCCACTGAGTCTAAGCCTGTACTACCTGATTCAGGGTTTTGATCTCACAACTAATATGCCCCATGGGACAATAGCTTAGTGAATTAAAGAACTGGTTAGTGAATTTGATGATGTCATAATTGTGAGTTTAATCCCTGGGCTGGGTAATACAGACTTACACTCAATGGAAACAAGGCAAGTAACAACTGATATTTTTTAAACTTTATTAGCTGAATTCTGATCTGAAATTTTCACTGTATAATATTCAAGATGGTTATTAGCTGAATTCTTATTTGTAATTTTCACTAGATAATTTTTGATTTGTATGATTAATGTAGACAGGTCAGATTGAGTGCATTAACAAGGAAGATTATATAAAAAAATAATTTGTTGTAAATACTATTTTCATTATTAGACTACAGGTGTATTGATATATTTCTGTACTCTGCTACAAGACAGGTCCATTCATTTTTTCCTACTTTTTTTATAGAATTCTTTTTCTTTCTCTATCTATGTTTTTGTATCTTTCTTTATATTTCTCACTTTCTTTTTCTTGTTCTTAACACTTCAGTCTTTTTTGCTGGAGAACTATAAAAAAAACCTTCTGTTTATGAATTTATTAGATTGAATTTAATTAAAATAATTCACTTAATGTTCTGTTTACTTCACCATCATCATGCAATTTTAATTGTTAATAAAGAAGAGAAATTGTTGGCGAAAAAGAAAATGATAAATACTTTGCTCAAAATAATAGCAAAACCAACCAAGATTGTATGTAAATTGATAAACAATTTGCTAGAGTCAGCTTGACAAGGAAAGATTTATTGTGACTGTTAGGGTATATTAACCCTTTAACATTGAATGTGCTCAAACCCACCCCATAAATATTGGTCCTCAAAGTCTCACTGTTACAGCAGATTGAACACTGAGAGCTGATATTTATGGGGAGGAATTGAACAGGTTAAATGCTAAAGGGTTAAAAGTGTAGGCTGAGTCATAAATAATTTCTATTTTGGTTTATTAAATTCATTCTTAAGAAAAATACAATTATACTTTATTCAATTATATATTCACTATTATTTGCAATGACTATGACACACTCTTGAAAAAGGTTTTCGCTAGAGAAAGTTTTCCACATCAAAGCAATTTTTGCTCTTTTTCTCTTTATCTACAAGATGGCCACAATTTTTGTTGGGATGTTTTTCAGAGATTTTACTTTTTTATTCAATTATTTTTGTAAGTTTTTTGTATTTTTTAAGTTTAAATATTATTTTTTATTTACTTGTTTATTTTTTTAAGTTTTAAATACAAGGTGCATTTCAGATGTTTTGAAACATTTTCAGGAGAGACATTAATTTCAAAGAAGTACAAAACTCTAACCCCTTTCAAAGTAGAGTTCTTTGACTTCAATGCCTTTGTTGTAATGCTCCATCAACTTTATGAAGGTATCCAGAAACCTTGGCACAGTTGTCTTTCATTTTCTAAATGTCTTCAAAACTGAGGTTCTTCTCCAGCTTGGGGAACAACCCAAAGATATAGGATGCAAGTTCTGGACTGTAGGGTGGGTATGGAACAGTTTTGATGACCATCTCTGCCAACACAAAACTTTATTGTATAGTGAGCTTCCAAATTGTTATCATGCAATGATTGCATTCTGCAACTTAGTCAGCTGTGACAAGCAGTGTTTAGTAGGGTGTGTTCAAAGAGCTTTTACAGTTGTCTCCTTCAATCTGGATTAACAAAAGTTGGCAGATCAGCTTATTAGATGTATAGTATTGATAAACTAAAATTACAATAATCTAGAACATTTATAACTGCCTCTCCTGAAAGTCTCAAAACTTCTGGAATGCGACATGTATATCAATAATTCCTTTCAATTCTGACTGTTGTGTATTTCTTCATTTGTGTACATTATTTAAAGTTAAAGATTTGATCAATACAACTCTTTTTATTTTATTTTATTTACTGTTACATCAATTTGAGGACAGAAGTGTCCAAATGCACCAGCAAGTTTCAAATGCTTGCAGTTCGGGAGCACCTCATAATCGAGTAGCTCTGTATTTCAATACACAGTGTTAAAACCTGTTCAGCTAGATTTCAAAAGCCATATCTCATAACCAGTAAGACAGAGGAGGTTAAATTTGGTATCATTTGAAAGAGAAATCAGTCTACTATCATATAAAATCAACTTGTAATACTTTCAATGACTTTTGAGATAATTTAATTGCACAATCATATTCAGATTTTTTATCAGTTCAGTCAGGACTCCAGATATTTAACATTTGAAATTGCTTAAGGATTATAGGGTCAAAAACAATTATGTTTCTAAAGGTTAACAATTTTTGGGATGTGTTGCAAATTCACAAACTGTAATGAAATAACAATTGTAAATTTATAAAGGTGTTGTTTTATTTTTTCTTGTATATATTTCAACTAGAATGTTCTCTAATCATCTTTAAGTGTAAAAAAAGAAAATTTGGGATACAATTGTTCTTTGAACCACACCATCTTTAATATTTTCTTACATATTTTCCAAACACACACACACACCACAAATAGGACAGAGCCAAAAACATCCCTGGTCATTATTGATTCTCCCTGCCCCTTACACTGCCATCACCAGCTACATGTAGCTTACCACAGGTCTTTGTTTGCTACATCTCCTAACCCTGCATGTATCACTCCCTTTTAATCCACCATCACTCCCCATCACCTGCCACATATCCCTCTTTTCCATTTTGTAGTCTCCACACTCTCTATCAGCACACACACATTTTCATTGACAGGCCAAGAAACTGACTGGAGATTGCACTGCACATGATGATTATGTCACTGACGAGGACGAGAGCTCGGAGACTGAACGGAAGAAAACTAATAAAAGGGTATCTACTGGTACTTGCTTGTTTGACTATTCCAACCTCTAAGGGTGCCAGGCCTGTTACCGGCCACCTGGTCTCTCCCAAAGGGGTACTAGCCCGCTTATTCTTTTTCTTTCTTACATTCTCATCAGCATCTTTCTACACTTTCTGCTGTTATATGCTGGCATAGAACCCACTTCTGCCATCAGTTGGGTAGATGTACTTCTAATTTATTTGGTTTCATCTTTATTTTGTTTAAAACAATGAGTTTGGAAGAGAGGTATCTTATGACAAAAGATATTTTAAGTCTTCTGTTGTTTAAAATTAAGAAGTAATTCAAATGCAGTGTTCCAATATCATTACTTTTGTATCCATAATGTAATCAATACATCTGTATGACTTCATAAGATCTTCAGGTATATTTAAAAGTAATAGTTTCTGCCTTTTAAAATTGGTAATTCCATTGGAAAAAGTCTTTGTGATCAAAGGGAGATCACTCAGTCATATTAAAAAAAATAGGATAAATGCAGTAAAACACAGACACCAGCAATAATACATTTGTATTAAATAGATTGTTGGTTATTTAAAGTTTATTTGGTTTCATCCTTGTTTTGCCTAAAACAATATGGGTTAACCAATATAGTATCTTATTTATGATTGTTTAATCGGAAATTAAATGAAAAAGTTACTTAAATTTTTCTCTTGTTTGAAATTACTATGATGCTAAAATAGACATTGCACGCAATTCACACAAGACATCAAATGCACCAAGTTGTTGACTTAGTCACCCCAGCCGCTGAATTGTGAAGCATGTGGCTTTGCACCTGCATCCAGTTTCTGGAACATGTAGTTGTATAAACAACTGTGTTAGGGCAGTCTCCCACACACTGCAGAATGTAAAGAAGACATTTGGTTAAGCGTGCTATGGGAGCAGCATATCACAGACTGGCTGAGAGTAACAAATGAAATACTGAAGTGAATAAAATGTTAAGTAATGAAGACTCCAGTGTCACATTATTTCAGCACCCCTACTTTATTATATAAAGATGTAGCACAAATTAATTGTGATATTCCAATATAATTACATTTGTATGTATAATTTAATCCATAAAATATATCTGTATGGAGTCATAAGATTATCCGGCATATTTAAATGTAATAATTTCTTTCTGAAGTTAACCATCCTTTAAGGTTGCTAATTTCATTGGGGGGGAAAAAATCATTGGGATCTAAGGGAGATCACTCAATCATATTTAAAAACTGTAAACGAATTTATTAAAAGATGGACATCAGTCGTATAATATGTTTACATCAAATAGGTGCCATTTAAAAGTTTTGAAAAACTGAAGATTCGATGTTGCTTCCCCAAATTAAAAAAAAAAAAAAACATTATAGAAAATAAGTTTATTTCCTGGCGAGTTGTGTGAAATATCCATCAAAACACACACACAAAAAACACTGAATAACTTAACAGAAAAAAAAAAAACAACATGTATATTACTTTTTTAAAAAAATTTTACATTATAGAAAATAAATTTATTTTTTCATAGTATAATGTACAGAGATAGTAAACTACACTATAAACAATTTTTTCCATCAATCACAAATGTGGAGCATGACCAAATAGCAAATCCCACATCACTTGTAAAAACAGAATAACAAAATGGATAACAGATGTAACTAGAAGGGAAAATAATTTTTAATCAAGATGTTAACTTTCAAAAACATAAGCTCCTGAAAGAGTTTGGACATTTTGTTTTCCTGAAAATCTGTCTTAAGAGAAAGATTTGGTAAATTTCAGCCAAGAGTAATACTCACTGTTTAGCCAATGAATGTTTCCTGTGAGGAAATTGTTAATTTCACCATGACCATCAGGTACATTTTTCTGGAAAATTCTGCAAAAATCACCTTGAGTCTCTAATCCCAGTGGTTGAATTGTTTGTACAAGTGTGACTAAAACATAATCACATCTGTTTGAATTAATAGCCCCATTATGATCCAAGAATATGATTATAAATAAATTATGATGACAAATTAATGTTAGAAAATAAAAGTTGAGTTCAAATTCCAGTCGAATCCATTACATTCAATTACATGCTAATACCCTTGGGAAAGATATGAATCCTCTTCTTCTCCCCACAGCTATGGGTAAATAGCAAGACAAACTGGGTGCTATAGCCTTGTATGGCAACTGCTCTACTGCAGAAAGAAATGGCAACCTACTGCGAGAAAAAAAATCTGCCTTGTCAGTCATGTATTGAAAGATACATGATTGCCTAAGTGTGTATCATGCATGGCACATAACTGACTGAGTTTATCTGAACACTTTCCATAGAAATAGTGATAGAGCCTTGAAAGGTTTGCAATGTTTTGTCTGTGAGGAAGGGGTTGCAGGGTGGAGAATAATTTATCACTCACAAGGATGCAGAGACACTTTTGGACTCTATTGAGACTGGAAAGTGAAAACTGGGCAGCTCCTGTCCATATATGGATAAGCACTTCATTTTCGACTTCATCTAACTCTTGTAAAGGTAGAGGATAGCAGGAGGATTCAGATATTTACTGGTGTGGTACAGGGAACTGACCATTTTTCCAGCATCTTTAATGATGGATTGTATGTACAAGTTCAATTTAAAGTCTGGGTTGAGTTTAAATCCCAATAGGTACTCAAGGCACAGGGCCTCTGGGAAGGAACATCTGTTCATCATGACTGGTGATATTTCTGTGTCCAATTGGTGATGATTTCACTTGTTTTTAAGGCATTGAATGTGAACAGCCAGTTTTTCTCCACTGAGCTGTTAGAGCTCAATTAGAGGAGAGATCAGCTGCCAGTCTCTGGTCATCTGACTGTCAGAGCTGACTGCTGGAAACTTCACCCTCCAAAAGGCAGTACCTGCTCCTATTTATAGCTGGGAGAGTCCATGCATGCATGCATGCGTGGGTTAATTGTCATAACAGATTGGAATGTGTGTATAAATAAAGTCTTTCTTTATTTTTAATCCTAAGCTCCAACCACTGGGATAGTACAAAAAAATATCATGTGTTTTTTAAATATTGTAAGTTTCTGAACAAATTTACTGACTAGCATGTTCCCTTTTTTTCTTTTAAAATATACTTAATACCGATATCATTATATATTAGAGATTTTCTAATTACAAGACTGTCAAAAGTGAAAATGAATCAGTCCGTATGCCAATTCTTTGATGTAAAATCTAATTGGTTTATTGAGGGATTATGACCACATCATGCTGAAACACTGGTTCCCGTACAATCACTGGTTAAGCAACATTAAACCTGGTCAGTACCTATATGGTTGACCAGTTGGGAATACCAGATGCTGTAAGTTTGGATGTGCAGGTGGTGTAATGGATAATGGCTCAGAATTATTAATCAATGAGTCAAGTTCCAATTCCCATTAGGTTCATTATATTCACTTACACACAAATACCCTTGACAAAGGTGTGAAATCACCTCTTCTCTCCCAGCTATGGGTTAATTAGTAAAACTTGTATCACAAAACAGATTCTTACAATTTAAGGATATTTTCTGGCTTTAAATAATCAGCAAACCATAGAAAACAAATCAAATACTGATTAGCTACACAGGCATGTTTTTTAGATTTATTTACATTCTCTGGAATAAAAATGTATGGAAACTACCGTGGCCACAAAGTGAGGGATCAGTTTTTATATTGATTGTTATATAGAATTGATCCCCCACTTTATATCCATGTTATAATTTCTTGTTTTTTTTATCAAATTCTGATTAGCTATGAATCCACTTCTCCCTCCTGCCAAGCTATGGGTTAATTAGTAAAACTTGTATCACAAAAAAGAATCTTACAATCTAAAAATTTTCTGGCTTTAAATAACCTACAAAGGGTTGATAAGCCATAGAAAACAAAACGACCAAAAGACCATTTTAATTGATAATTGAGTCATTATGTAGTTAGCTAAAAAATAGTTACCCAAGTTGATATAATATAACCTCATGTTAAATAAGGTGGTTTTCAAAGAAAACAGATAGGCTCAAAACATTACTGTAAAAAAAAAAAATAATTAAAATAAAGGATTACCTATCTTAATTTTCACTGTACTACATCTGTTGTAGTTTATAAGTTGTCTCAGTGTTTTTATTCTCAGGATTGTATTCTGCACTTAGTTTAACATATTTGAACACTATCCTATCACTTGATGTCTTGACAAAAGGTTTTTAGTACTGACATTTCACAATATTTGATAGAGAAGAATATGTTAGTATTTGTCCAAACCATTCTCTGGCAACTGATCTGCCTAAACAGTATTAACAAAAAACTGTACATCTTATATTCAATCATGACATTATCAAAATTATATATAAAAACAAAACATGTGTATTATGTTTTTGATTTTTGCTCATAGAAGTAAGCAACAAAACTAAAGACATTGATCTTAGGTATCCAGTACCAACAGACATCATTAGTAAAATGAAATGATTCTTACTTTGATTAAGACAAACATTACTGAATTTATTTTTCTCTTCAATATATATTTAGTGAGCTTAGTTTTGTGTATAGTCATGTACTGGTAAAGAAAGACTGTTGCATAAATCTTCTAGGTAGATAAGACTTTACCTAGTGTTCAAAGCTTTATCAAGGTTTGAACACTGTCCTCTTGAGCCAGTTGGAAATATGCAGTTAGCTCAGCTACAAAACAGTTTCCTTATACAGGGGTGCTGAAAAGTTCTTGGCTCCAAACCACTTCCCAAAATCTCACCAAACATGATTTTTTTTTTTTTTTTTTAGTTCCTTCTTGGTCAGGCTAATAACTTTTCAGCACCAGCTTGTTTTTTAAACTGAAAACTTGTCTCACTATTTTGGTAGATGTAAGTTTAACTTGTTATGAAGCCTGCAAAGAGATCTTATTTTTAATTTCAACTTCTGCTTCATTGTATGACTGGCATTTTTATAATCAGTAATGCCTTCATACTCTTCTTAGCTTTTACATGTAGTCACGAATGTTAGCTATTAATCATAGCTGTAATGC